CATGCACAATTGGTACAGTTCTGCAAGGGAGAATGCTGCAATACTTAGAAAATGCTACAGAATTTAGTTTCACAAACACAGAGAAAGCAAGTGCACCTGGTACAGAGAAATAAAACAAAAGCATTGTAAAAAGTCTCTCTTGGGGGGATTCAGATTTTGGCCAAGGTGAGAAAGTAGGAAGAAATAAATCCCACTGCCAAGTATGCAGTTCTTTTAACATTCCTTTATTTTTTTATGTTGAGAAATGAAGCTATGTTCAATTTTCCATGAATAATTCTCTCTCTCTTTTATTTCTTTTCATTTCCCTCCTACTTCATGTTCATTAAACCAAGTGCAAAGTTGTTGTCATTGGATTATCTTTCTATCAGGTACTGACGAAAAGACAGATAGTCTTCCACTGAATTTAAACAAAAGGAAAAAAGAGTGGAGAACAGGGGTTATCAACTCCACTACTTCCATAACAATCAGGCATGACAAATTGTAATGTCATAGGAAGTACATTTATTTAATATGTTCCTATTTTCAACAGTATTGATTCATGACTTGCTGGCTAAAAGCTGAACATATCTGTGTCCACTTTTGGGCGCTCTCAAACATACCCGGCCAAATTCTTTGCTGGTGTAAACTGAAGTTCTCTCTACTGAAGTACTGTGCCAATTTGCACAAGCAAGGAATTTGGCCCACAATTTATAATAATGCCATTATTATAATCCTTCCATTTAGCATTATTGTCAGAGTATATTGGGTCTGGACTGTTTGGTGTCAAAGGTATCCTACTGTTCTTATTTAATCATATAGCTCAAAGAAGGATCCCGTACAGGATCCTAACTAAATAAGTCAGACTAGTAGGATACATTACTAGTGAGCAATGTTCCCTCTAATCTTTTCCATACATGTGCTGATTTTTTTCTCCATCATTGTGCGGAATAATTTTTCACATGCACCGAGGCATATGCAAATGGGCAACACCACTAAAAACAAAAAACCTAGCTGTAGGTACTCTTTTAATCAGCTGGGTGGCATTTGAATCTGTCCTGAGTGGCCACTCAAACACATGGCTTGCAGGGAACACTGGTGGTGAGTTCTTCTCCCTATAGGCCAAACCCTCAGGATATCAAGGGTAAAATACTGGTCCCATTGAAGTCAATGACAAAACTCAAATAGAATTTAATAGGACCAGGGTTTTAACTCAGGATGAGAGCCTTTTCACTATGGAGCACTGTGTTTCTTTGTATGATTGCTGCAGTCCCTCTTCCCTCATCCTTAAGAGGTCCCTTCCCTAATAACAACAAACTTGTCAAAAAGGTTGCCAAAAAGTACATTGTCTTCTCTCTTTCTCTCTAAAGAAGATGAAAAGCAAAAAAGTCTTCCTGTTCCAACCCTTAACACCATAGGATTTCCTATCTGCATAGACAGGATGGGCCAAATTTTCCAAAGAGGTCTCGTTTTGTCCTCCAACTGCACACACGTGAGTTTTGTGCGCTATGAGCTTTTGCATTGTCAGTCTGCTAACATATGCACGCAGATGACAACCCAAGCAAAGCTGTACATGCCCATGGAGGCCATGTTTTGAAAAAATGTGCTCAGGAGTGTTGCTACGGTTCATGTCAGACATAAGGATAAATAAGCACTAAGGATTTACATTTTATTAAAAACTTGAGAGACGTCTGTTACCTCTTCAGTATCTTGAAGGGTATCAGTGTAATCTGCATTACAGCCTTATGGACAGATTCAATGATAACTCCGTTCATCTTCCATGCTGCAGAAGCTGGCACTAGGCCATACAATTCCTGGAATATCCATTTTTCAAGGCTGATGTGGGGCTCCATGGCACAGAAGACAGACACATTTTTATTATATTATCCTTATTATTAAAAATAAGAGGGCTTAAAAGCTCTGGGTCGCAATGTAGCTACTACAAGGTCAAGGTTAACTTTCCTTTTTCTGCAGTATCAATAACTCACAATTGAAAGTACCAGCGAAAGCTTAAAGGACCACAGCATAGATTTTAAATCACATTGCTGTCTGCTAAGTGAAATTAAAACAAATCTAGAATAGCAAAATGTTACACAAGATTATTTCCTCACTTCCTAAGGGCCCTGGCAGTTCCCTGCAACTCAAAACTTCCATTCAGGCTCTGTGGGTGCTGGATTAGTTCCAGACAGAAGGACAATATTTTATCCATTCATTTGTAGCCCCTTTTTTAGCAGTTATACAACTTTTTTTTTCTCTCCACTGGGACATACAAATCAGCTCTAACAACTTACTCTTGTCTCTTGTCTTCACTAGGAAAAAAGTAAAGTTTTCACCATGTGTTAGCTAACACGGTAACTAGCACATAGTAATAGCATGTAATAGCATGGACAATGCAGTTGTTTACCTGAACCTGTTAATACCTGTGTAAAAGTACAGCCCCATTGCTCTGACTAGAATTGCAACATGTGCTATGTGGTTATTTTCTTAGTACATATCCAACCTAAGAGAACTTGACCAGTCTCTTTTTTTTCTTTAAACAGTTAAAAGTAGCATAGGTCAATTTACATGTAATACTCGCATCTATACAGGCTGAGAAAACATTTATGTTTTTCAATGAGTATGCCATAGTTAAGAAAAAATAAATTTATGAGTAACTGATGGTGCTTAAGTGACTCTGGCTCATGAGGTTATACATTACATTAACCTAAAGGAATGAAATTCTCCATAATCAATTAGATTGCTATTCATGAAAGTCATCTGCATGCTTAAAAGCCAAACATGGGATTGTACTATTTACCCATTAAGACTGGAATGCTCAACTAAATCTACAATTTTTTGTTTTTCAATGTAAAATCATCTACATGCATGCAAAGATCAGCCGATGGATTTTTAAGCTTTTTGAACAATAATTGGCCAAGATATTAAATGTTAACAGTAATTAAAACCCAATTTGGATTAATAGGCACCCATATTCAGGACCCCATGCAGTCTTGAAATTCTGCTGCACTGCAGTTTTCTGTAGAACCTAACCATCATTGCAGAACAGAAACTAAGCCTTCATTTAAAAAAAATATTTCTAGTCTTGATGGCTTAAAAATAGCCTTGAAAATGTGAACCTAATGTAACCAATGCAATGTTTTACTACTGGCATTCTGGAAGGTTTCTAGAAAGCAGGAAGCTCCTCATCTAGCTCAGTGTGTTGTTGATCATGAAAACTAATAATGGCAATTAATATGGCTACATGTTAATTTTATTACCAGACCTTTTATCAGAAACATCAAATTAATGGTCTTCTCCTACAACTTCAAACTGCCTTTTGTGCTTCCCCAAATGCCAAAAACTTCAACTGTCTGCTACTTCGCTGCTAAAACCTCCAGCTCCTCCAACAACACTGATGATGTAGTTTTGGATGGCCTATACAAAATGTGTGGAATACTGAAATAGTGGGAGGGGAAAAGCATTAATTAAAATGACATTAAAATAGAGGAAATGTCATAAGGAATATTGTACTGATGGCATCACACTGTCATATTTAATTCACTAAAAACTCAAATTTAAAATTAAATTTAAAATGAAGATGTGCATAATTTCTCGTCTGATGCACAGGAGTGTTGCAGAATGAAGAGAATTTCATGCAGCTTTTATGACCAGGCTGCTGCAGGGTAAGAGGGATCATATTAATTACTTATTTTTTCAGTTTGAATAGCAGATAATACATATCTGCAAGATGTGTAGAGCATTAGATTCATTTTTTCCTTTTCAATTTTGATCAACAAGTTTATTCTTGGTCTGAAACCTCACACAAATGGTTTTAACCTGAAACACACAATTACAATTTGGTGTTATAGCAATGATCTTAGGACACCACCAGTTGCATTTGATGTCTGAACTGCATTTTGGACACCCTTGTGTAAGGAAAGAAATGCTCTCTTTGGACATACTGTAATTAGAAGAGATACATTTTAACACGTTTTCTAGCATTCGCCATCAGGCTACTAATGCAAATTTAACTACAGTGGTGTGAACAGTGAATGGTAATAAAGCTCTACAACAGATATGTCACTTCTACACCTCACTTTATCTACAGTTGGGGAGACAATAATGCTTAGATACCTACCTCACATTAATTAGTTGGGAAAACTAATTAATGAAAAATACACAGTGCTATATATAAGTGGCTATATGTGATAGGCAATCAATTGTGACCAATCCTAAAATGGAAAGTAAAGAATATACTACAATGCCTACCACCACATATAAATATTTATACCATGCCAGAGAAGATCTCATCTGTGAGGCATGCTCCACTCTGCAGCACAGGTAAGAAATACTTTGTTATTACTATAGTTATTTGCATCATTAGGATAGCCTGCTGAAAATACAGTAATAGGATTTATTGAGAGCTCACTAATACCTGCAGTAAGTAGAGAGAGAAAGCAAATGAGTGTATATGAGAGAGAGAGGGAGAGATATCTGCATTGCTAACCTTAAAAAAAGGGCACAGTCCTAATCCACTGACATAGCTCCTTTTACAAAGCCATGCTTTTACTCATGATAAAACCGCTTCTTGGCTGACCTGGCAATTCACATCAACCTTCTAGTTAATAGCAATTACATTTTTACCACTTGCCTTTGTCTTTCAAACTGAAGGTAAAATGCTCTAACCCTTAAACAACACATACAGCAGCACATTTTGGGATGAATTCTTAATAACTCAGAATCTGACCACATCTTTCAAGATCACTGAGGGCCACATTCTCTGCTTCTAGCTGTCCTTATGATGTACAACCCATGTGACTCCTGTAACACCTTTCTCTACCTTGTAATCTTGTTGCCATGTTCCAAATCTATCTCCTCTCTATCCCTGACAGTTATCCATTTTTAATATATGCTCCTTTGTATGAAGTCAAAAACAGTAACTCACGTTCAGCAGACAAACAAGGACACAGCCAGTTCTATAGATTATACTGCAGCTGTACTCATATTAGGTTGCCATACTAAAATGAAAATAAAAATGAAGAGCCAGCTAATATTGGTATTTTTCCTCAGAGTCAAAGGAGCAGAGAATACTAGGCAGAATACCTATGCATAACTTTCCTTCCCAAATTGCATTTTATAATCAGTGGTCTACTTCCTAAAGTTATCATACGAGAAATCACAAGTGAAACAATATACACTCACATATTTACATTGTTTTGCCTAAAACAATCGAAGATCTCAAACATTGAGCTTCAAAAAAGTAATCTAAAAGCACCGTGATTCCTTTTGTGACATGTGAACAGCTGTAATTTAAAAGGACACTGTCAAATACAATTTTGCATCGTTTGTTGGTTGGTTGTTTTGCCAGTACGATCTATGCTGACTTTTTATTCTGGACTGTTCATATAGTCCTTGAACTGGTGAAAACTCCATGGAGATGTGACATGAGATAGTGGAAAAAGCAGACATGTTCTCTCAGAGCACACTGTCGGGACTGATCCATACATTCAACTGTGCAATTAAGGGGTAATATAGTGAATCCAGAAAATAGGGCATTGGCCGCAAATAGGACCCAATCAATTTACTGTATTTATGGAGAATGGGAATGAAACCATAGAATTTTGGCCTTTGCATGTCTTTACATAGTAATTTTACCTCTTATTTGGTAAACTTTGATACCCCCATTGTCTTCCAACATCTTTGTTTTTGACAGGTAAAAATAAGTTTTCTTCATTAACCTGTATTCCCCATTGCTATTTAGTTGATCAGTTCAGCTGAACATTGAAAGGTCACGTACAAGTAATGGCTTTGTTTGCTTTTAATATCTTGCTTCCAGAGTTGTTGATCTGACAAAAACAAAAAAACCACAAATACTTCTTGATAGATCGATAGATTGAGCAAGTTTACCCAATGTTACATACATGGCTTAAATTAAGTGAGAGTGTCCATTTAAATCATTGTTCTTCTTCTGGCAAACATTATAAATACTCATTGGAATGAAACCTATACTGCACACAAAAACATTCACAGAAACCAGAAAAGGCCATTTAGACCAACCTGCCTGTCCAGTTTTGGCTGATCTTCCTTCTACCTAACATCTTTTCCACAGTATCGCTCAATCACCTCCTTCTCTAAAAACCAATCTAGGTATCTCTTGAACTCATTTTACACCCTTTGGTTTAATCATCTTTTGCCACTATCTCCAACTAAACCGTGCAGTCTTGCTGCAGTCTCAGTGTCAGAGGGGGGAGGATACTGTCTAACTACTGATACAGATATGGCACCAAAGAGGCAATTAAAACAACTACTCACATCTTGTGCAAATATTCTCTCCCTCACTCTCTGATACTCCTCTTCTCTCTCTTCAATTGATTTACTTCGTCTGTCATCTCTAAATGGATGAATTCTGTTTTGCTGAGCAGAAAAAAAATCAGGAGGGTTATATAAGTTGAGCTGTTAAAAAATTTAGTTTAGAAACTGTCGGCTAAGAGTAGTAAATGTTCCCGTAAAAAATAAACTATGAAAAGGATAGTTTCTAGTTCTGAGGTAGAGTGTGGACCATCATGTTATGCTGAGTATCGGAGGGTCTCAAGTTAGATGCTGCTGGAGTATTCCTAGATCAAATGGCTGAAACAATGTTTCACGCATGACTTTTGTGAGCCTGCAGTCCTGAGTCAAGGCCTCCTCATCCCATGGCTTTTGCTTTTGACTGATCAGGAAAAGGCAACTTTTCTCATCTTTCCTACTGGCTGCAGGGAAGGAAGTATCATAGAATACCTAGCATCAATGTCGTCAATCAAGAGCATAGGGAAACTGAATGGTAGGACTGATGATAAAATACTAAGCTCCCCCTCTAAAAGGTTACATTGTTTACAATGATGATAAATTATGCTTTCCAGAATATTTTGCACAAGAGCCTTAACCCTTTCAAGTTTGAAACCTAGCCCTTAATTCAACTAAGTGGGGAGGAACGAGCCATTTAAAGCCTTTAAATGATCAAAAGTTTAAACAACAACAATTCATGAACATAATGGGAAGAAAAAAAGGCATCCTTCAAGAAACACCTTTGCTTGCAATTAGATTTTAACTGCAGCGCTGCTCCCACGTTGTGTTTTGTATATAAGATCACTCTGCCTGCCTTTGGTCTGCTCCCACATCCATTACTCACTAAACCTTTTTCTCAAAGTCAACTGAGATGCAGTGTAGCTGGAAAGCTACTACACACAGCTGAAGGTAAAAGGAAAAAAGAAAAATAGCCTCTAATTAGAAGCAGGAGGCAGAGAGGCATTCAATGGCTTTGAGTGATTCACTGGAATCTATAACAGTAATGATAACCTGAGTGATAAAAAGCACACGCTGTCTTACCTTTAGGTATTTTCTCACAAAAGCAATTCCAGTGTTACAACCCCTTTTGATTTGTTGTTTTGTCACGTACACATTTTGCACTGGATTTAAATTATTTTATGAACACAATGCTTTATTTTTAGAAGTGTTTTTAAAAAATGCTGAATTTCAGTGACGTGCGAACACACACCTCTCTTACACTCCCTTACACATTACATATCAGACAGGTCTAAAATAACATAGTGCTGTGTCACAAGCAACACACGGAAGGGAAAAGTTCTGCCACAATACATGCAAAACAAGCAAATAAGTTACATAGACGATAAAATATGGTTGCAACAAGGGAGGGATGAGCACTAAAAGATCAAACTATTTTTGTGGGTAGGAAGAATTAAAATGTACTTTGAGATAGTTTCAAAATCAACCTGACCTCCCTGAAACATGTTTGAGTGTTTTTTTGCTTCTTTATGGCTATACCAGTTATCTTCGGACTATAGTGATATCCATAGCTGTGTGCATGTACACAACTGCAGGATAAAGCTGTAGGGAGTGGAAAAACTGCCAGAGTCACACAGACATTTGGAAATGCGACGGACAAAGCCTTCCAACAGCTTGGAACCTTTGACATTCCAACCCCCTTTCAACATGCAGCAAGTCCTGTGCCAAGCAAACCATCCATGCAAACCCACACACTGCCACTGCTAAAGCAACCACACTAGGGCTTGATGCTCTTCACTGTATGCCAAAGAGGAGGAGTGGGGTCGGGTGAGGGATAGGAAAAGGAAAGCAGAAGGGAGAGCAACAAAAGAACAACATTAACATCAGTCAGCCCACCTTCGAAACAGAACAAATTTCAGCAACTCTCGAACCGAAAACCAACCTGATTGTCTTCTTTATCAATACTAGAGTTATCTCGCTTCAAGATAAATCGCTTCTGGGATTCTTCACCTTTTTCATCTTTTAAATGTTCAGAAAACCTTTGCTCTGGTCTGCCAGCAAAGTAAAACATATCAATAAAAAAAATCTGCTTCGTTGGGGTTTTTGTTTGTTGTTGTAGGTTTTTTTTTTCTAATCCTCAATGCTCTTTGTTTTTCACAGAGCCACTTAGTGCAAAATTAGTTTACATTTGTTGTGGTTGGGAGAAACTAACTACAGCTGTCTGATGAGGTTCTAATGTAGCTAACTGTTATTGCTATAAATATCTTTTGTTGTTATGTAGGAAGAAATGTGAATTCTAAGTATCAGTCATTAAGATACTCAATCTCATCAACCCCTGTGACTGAAGGACAAGAAAACAAGTCAACATACAAGACGTTAATTTGTTCTTTCAGTTGTCCTGACCTCTAGCTAAGCTTACCCACATGTATGAACAAGGAAAAACTTATAGAAATATTTTAATACATTTTTCCACCCCAAAAAAATCAGGGATGACTTGATAGCATTTTGCTTAAACAAATAATTATCTAGTGGCTCAAACAGGGGAAAATATTTCAGAACAGTCCCACAATATTGATTAGCCAATTGATTTTAAACTCATCCCTTTAAAAAAAATAGCCAAACACCGCAGGCTAAGAGCTTAACATTTCTAGGTTCAGTGGTTAGGAATAACTGCTCTGTATCCTTCTGAACCTTGTATAAAAAGGAAATGCTAAGAAGTGTCCTGGAGCTAACAATTATCAGAACTTATTGCTTTTAGTGACATTGAACTCTTGATGGTATACTTCATCATACATCTGTTCTTACTGTCCTGCTTTTGAGCTGTCTGCCAAGGCTTTGGTATGCCATTAATTGGTTAACAAAACAGCAATACATTTTGTCATGTGATGATGAACTGTTAATTCAACAGAATTACAATTTGGGCATCCAAAACTTATCTAAACAAAGCGTCTCATCTACCCCTCAGTGCTCGTGTGTTACTTCTGGTAATGTTAACAGGAAATTTATGTTTCTCAAGTGAAGAACACAGTGCCTCGCGATCATATACTGTGTAGTGATGCATCGAAACTGTGTACAACATTCCCATTGACATACAATGAGGAAACTGGATACAGAATGTATTTGATCTGGTCTTTAAAAAAAAAAAAAATCAGTACCGTAAAACAATGCCAAAAAATTCTGCATCCTTCTCCAAACAAAATGTTTTTAATCCAGATGTGCAAATCAATTGTCAGTTTACTGCCATGCTGTTCAAATTAACACTCAGCTGATCATTTTGCACAATGTTGCAATTGTATCAGGGTGAAACATACTACATATCTGTGAGACAATTACAGCCCATTTAAATTACCAAATGTATAGAAAAGGCTATGATAAATACGAAAGTCACAAGGTAGTAACTTTCCTGACATCCTTTTATTTATGAATTTGCATGAATTTTGGAGGGCTCCTATTAATTCTGTTCACAGTCTTCATTTTGTGCAAAGCCTGCAGTTTGGGTCTATAAACCAATGACCTAATTTCCAGAGAGGCTGAGCAACCAATAATTTCACATACAGGCCATCTTCACTGTAAGTCCAAGATACATTCCAAAACACTTGGATTTACAGCAAAAATAACTTAGAGGGGATTTTTTCCTCTTCGCTGACTTCCATTTGAGCAAATGTGGGGAGGAGGTTGCACGATTTAAGAGCAGGGAACGGGAGGACTTATAACTCATCAGTTACTACAAGTAGTCACCAACTTTAGTGCAGGACAGATATATACTGGGGCAACTTATAATAGGGACACCCTGTACTTCAACAGGAATTGTGGATAAACACCGCCATTGGAAACAGGGCCCATAATATAGAAAGTCTCAGGTTCGCTAGATATCTCACTTCGCTCTTTTCTGAAGAGTTATTGAAAGTGAAATGGTGAGTGCTCTCTAGTACAATTTTCTAACAATTTGCAGTGAAAAGACAAAGGCAAACCTACCACTACAAATGGGACATTGTACAGTTTGTTCTGCCTTCATTCCCATTAACAGGTATTATGTTTAAACTGTCAGGAGACTAAGAGACCCTCAAAAAATCTGGTTTTAAATGAGCAAGTGAAGAAGTTCAGAGGTTAAAAACACACACCATCCATAAGCGATAGCACAATTTAAGGACAAACTGATAAAACCACTAGATTTGGACTGGAGGTAAGGTTAGTATAGATCTTATAGCTATAAATCTAACTTGTGCGTGTTTCAATATGTTGGGTGTATATTGAATAAAAGAAAGAGGGGAAAACAAATGATCTAATTATGTCAAAGTCAAGAAAATAGACGTAAATCCATTTGGTAAATATCCTCTGTAATTACTGCTTTATACAAACAGGTCTTATCTAAGTAGACCCATACTTTAACATTCTTTTAATTCTGTACTTTTAAATAAAATACCAAAAAAGAAAGAGACCACCATTGCTACAAATTAATCCCTTGCTAATTCCACCCCTCCACAGATCATTTTGGGAAACATGAGTGCAACAAATAAATTATCCTAAACCAGTAACTTAATGATCTAGATGGTACTTGGTTCTGTCATGAGGGCAGGAGACTAGACTGGATGATCTCCCGAGGTCCCTTCCCGCTTTAGCATTCTATAATCCATTCATTGATTCATTTATTCTTCAAACACAAAAACTTTTTTCCTGAATTAATCTAAAATACAAAGCTGAGATGGGGCCTTAATCTTGAAAGGAGAACTCGATGGGCAGATCCCTGTACACATGTGGCACCATGCTGACTTCAACTTCACTTCATGCCCTGAAGCAGGATTCTGCCTGTATGGTTCTCCTTGCAACATCAGGACCTTGAATGCCAGGCATCCGCCAAGAATGAAAATGCAAACATAGTTAGAAAATAAAGATCACAACAAGAATTATCATTAAAAATACTGAGGGACAACATTTATCTCACAACAGAAACATAGCATAAAAAACCCCTCTATAGGGTGCTTCTAAAATGCTATCAATGAAATCATACTTGCTTTGTTAACTTTATAGAAAATGGGGCCCAAATACCCTGACCTGAGCCAGTCTACAGGCTTCAGTCTTCAATGACAATGAACTCTTAAATAAACATTTGAGTTCAGAAAAGGATATTTATAAAAAGACAGCTCCTGTCCCAAAAGGGTTCATATGCTAAATGGACAATAGATAGACCAAAGGGCTAGCTAGCCCTGTAAGACACAAAATATGGGAATTCTAATCAAACACAATGAGAGTCCTAGCAGACCTAAAGCTTGAAGGATAAGGTTGTCAGTGATCCTATGTTATGATTATTTCATTTTATGTTTTATCTACTCAATGGAATCTGGTTCATTACTTTAAGAAGGTTTGAGTGAATCCGTTGTTCATGAAAGAGAAGGACATATAACATCATCACTATGAATATGAATATGGGTAGCTATAGCATTAGTATATTCTGCAAATTCATCTAATCTGGGACCTGATTTGCAACAAACACCTTCATTTCTACTTTGTGCTCTCTCATACCTGAGTCTTTCTGAAGCACAGCCTTTAAAATGTACCAAGGGGGGAAGGGGGCGAGAGAAGGTGGACACATGGGACTGAATTTTCAGCTGTGGCATAAGCCAGCTCACTTCAAAGAATGGCCTCAATTTGTGAATTCACAATGTTGAACACTTGGGTGCTTGTACTTGTTCACTACTGCTTGTGAATATTTGATGTTTTACAAAGCCCCAGAGTCTGACACCAAGTGATAATCTAAGAACCATAACTTACATTAAAACAAAACAAACCCTTGCCCTCCAAAAAAAGGGTGAAGAATGGACACTATGGGAGTTATGCAGTTTGGGGCTTCAGTGAGACCAAGATACCACCCTAAGTTTCTAGCCCTAATGACACAGAGTATAGTTTGAAAACATGACCTAAGTACACTTTAGGCATGATGTGGTGTCCAACTAGCTCTTCTATAGCAAACTAGACAACCTCAACCGGTCAAATAGCCACATGTGGCTAGTGTGTTGGACACCACAGCTGTAGAGGCTTAAAAATCAGCAAATAAAATAATGTATTTTTTAAAATATGTATATATAATAATTTTAACACAATCACGTTTTGTTTTGGGGCCTGACTCATTGCTTGGGCTTTGCAATACTGTAAAGTTGAAGACAAAGAAGTCCACCTACACCTTGTACTATTCTTTGAGGAAATCTGAAAGGTTATTTCCCACTCAGTATTATTTTTCTATCATTATAAGGCAACATTAGGATGAGTTTAACTGGATGCCCAAACAAAACAGGTAGCATACTGACAAAGTATCTAAGAAGTTTCCTGTAAAACTATGGAATAATTATTTATCTGTTTCATAGATATCAATGCTTATTTTTAGCTGCTTCACCATCAAATTCACTGATAGCACAATATGGAAACAAAGGAATCATTTTCAGTCTAAAAAAAGAGTAGGAAATGAAGCAAATGACCAAAAAGAGAAATAGCTTGCAGAAAGGTTTTCATAAGCCAGTGGAACCTTTGATCAGGATGCTACAAATCTGCTCAGAAGTGTTTATGTATGATGTGGTTTCAGTATATTTTGCTATAAGTCTATATCTATTAGGTATTCAACCCATAACAATCAATTTATACAAAGATACAGGCATACATATATTTGGTGATTTTAGTGCTAATTTACCGAAACTGCTCTGTTTGCATGTCCTGTGCCTGACCGTAAAAGACCTCTCTCACATTGTCAAAGGATAATTCTGGTTCCACAACCATTTAGACTTTGGCATCTCCTAAAGATATAAATGCCAACAAGGACCTGGTCATTGCCACTGTTAAAGGATACATTAGTGTTATTGCTTGACATTCTCTCCCTCCCCCATTTGTTTTTTTTTAAACTTGTAGTTCAAACATTGATTATATACCTGAACAACAGATCTTCTTTTTAGAACTTTAAATCAAAATGCATCAGTTCACCCCAGTGCCCTCTTGCTTGAGCAATCTCTTGCTTGTTTTTTTTAGTGACTCATTTACAGTACTTTGTCAATAAATGATGGTAGTA